TAATGTTCCTCTCCTCTGTGAAGCCCTACGTTAACTAAAGAGCTAGTGATGACTAACACAAAGCCTGGCATTTGATATAAATAAATATCCTGAAAGCTTTACCCATAAGCCTTAATCCATGTTTTGTTCCTCGATTACCAATATTTTTACCAGAATGCATACTTGCGCCATCCCCCTTCTCCACCTCATCCCCCAATAAACAGCCATGTACCCACACAATAAATCCGAGATTCAGAGAGGAGAGCGGGGAAGTTGGTGATGACAAAGCATGAGCACTGTGATCGAGAGGGTTTTAGTTTTTTGCAGACGAAAACTGAATCATCGAGAGAAACTAATGCAAATCTGAATTTTTAAATTCAACCGTTTAAAAACAATTTCAGTAAACGCCAAAAACACGGACAGGAATAGTTTTAAAAGCTAATTAAATAAATATTGAGGAAATATTTAAGAAAGCCAATAATACCATTACTGTTTATATTAGGCTATCACTTTTTTTTCTCCACCCTACTAAATCTATTTAAGTAGAGTTGCATATCAGTTGGTGCCAAGTTGCAATTCAATTAATCATATAATGATGTGCTCAAATTCGCGTTAATAATTGCTTGTACCCTCACTGGCCGACTAATTACCTATTGGTCACCCAAAAACATGAATTCAAGAAGAGGACGAAACGAGTTCTGAAATTCGGAAACAATGTTTGGAAATAAGGCTTTGGCCTATATTCAATGTTTAAATAGCTTACTATCTGGTTACGTGGGAACAAGTTCTGGAAAACATCTTTGATTTTATGTTCTAGACCTCCTCCTTTTGTTTCCTATTGCGCTGCTTGGTTATTCCGCGTGTCAAGAAAAAGAAGCTTTTACTGTTTTGTCTTGACGTAAGTTAGAAATCATGACGTGTATTTGTTATTGAATTCGTAAATAAGGCAAGTAAACCGCTTTCATCTAACTGTGTTGCCTTTTCATTTCATCAATGCACTTAATATTAAGAAAAAGTTCAAAGTGAGCCGACAACTAAACAAATTTATCAACCTCAAAGGTTTTCGTAAAGGGCTTTTTAAGCGAGAAATAGAAATAAATAGGGAAGTTATTAATTGGTATTCAACAATCTATCCCCACCTTTTTAACCTTCGTAAAATAACAGAAATGTCGAATCTTGCCATTCAATGAAATTCCTTTTGGTTAAGCAGAGCAAACAGCAACTAAAGACATAAATAAGACCTCATTAAAACCCCACAATCTTCAATTAAAAAATTTCTCTCGAAATTAGCTTAGTCCCTTCAACGGTATTGTGGAAACATAACGCATGGAGTGAACAACGATTATTATGGCTTAAGGCGCATGCCACAATGTCTAATCATTAAAATACACTAAGAGCCAAGCCAATAATGCAGAGACTAATGGTTTCTGGTTGGCTGAGAAATGTCTACACTAATTACCACACATCATAACCTCCCGATCAGTAGAACGGCAAATTTACTGGACCGTTTGAGTGAGCTTGACATTTATTTGGTCAGCACCAATGGCGTTGCGAACTTCAGAATACCATTCCGGCAACAAACAGCTGACTGCATTTGATCTTTATTCCGTTCAATTCAATTTTAAACCGAACATCTTTCTTATCGTATCCTTTGTCATCTACTTACTTTCGAACCCTTTAATTTTTTTCACAAATTTCTTCCTACTTTAAGTAGGGACTTGATCCTGCTCTGTTGAAAAACTTGTCTCATCTGAGTCTTTTTACTTCTCATCGTGTTCTTCCCTTAGAATACTTATCTTTAATATCAGACTATTTACTGAAAGGAACAACGACACTTAGCAACATCTACGTAACTAATCGCAGCATATCGCAAATACTGCACACATTTTTTTTTCAATTGAACCATATGAAACAATAATACGAAATTATAATCATCCAACTATTTTAATTTTAAAATCGGAAACACATCCTCTTCTCAAGTTTCTGCGCTGCTTCTTCATGAAACTTCTACTTACTTTTCCATGTCACGTGTTTCTTTCTTGAAATTTGGGAGAATAATGCGGACAAGTATAGGGACTTCCGCAGTTTCTTGTAATAAAACAGAAACTTATTTCGATTTTGCCCAGCGCATCACTGATTAAGCGTACTTTGGTCTGGTTCCTTGAAGTACCTGTGAGATATGATGCCTTTGAAAATTGACATTGATAATCACGTTACTGGTATAGCAATATAAAGAGTCATTTATGTACTTTCATTAAATCAGTCATAAAAATCCATATTTAAAATTTCCTTCAAAGCAGACATTCTTTAAATTTTAAGAGGAAAAATATGATATTCATCTCTTTGCCGAATGAAGTAACATGCTGTTCTAGGAGGGGGGGGGGGGGGGGGGGGGGGAGGAGGAAGGGAATGGGAGTTTCGAAAAGGCTTCGCATAGTGTAAACTCAAAGGTGAAATTTCGGCCATTTAATATTCTTAAATAAGGGGTGCGTGATAGACTTACCTCCACGTGGTGCACCCTGGGTAACGTATACTCATACGGCAAAAAAGCCTATAAACTGGCAATTGACTTCTGGCGCAGTAATCATCCTACCTTTTCTCTGCCTTCATGTCTGTCTCTTTACATCTGTAAATCACTCTTCTGTTCCCCACCCCTCGACTTTCTGTTACTTTGATGCTCCTCCCCCTCTGAAGCCCGAGTCAGCTAAAGGGCTAATGATAATTATCAAAACGCCTGACATTTGAAATAAATAATATATTCTTAAATAATAGAGGAATTGATTTGAAAACCTCAAAGACCTCTAACCCAATAATATGCGCGGGGACACAAAGCGAAAATCGATCAAAATTAGCTACCTTCAAGTGAAGTATCTGAAGTCATAAGTTTTTAGAACACGTTTTAAATAGATAGGAATATTTCTTTTCATTTCATATCATATTACGACTTATTTCCAGTCCACTTTAGTTCTACAGCTGCCACACAAACCAATGAGGAAAACAGCATCATTTTTTTCTGAGAATTAACAATGATACAAGGACACTATGTAGATGAACCTTTAAAAAGCTCGTTTGCTTACTCATCAGATGTCAAATAGAAGCTCTCGTACAAAGAGTGATAAGTAATAGTCATTTAACTAGGCAACTGTAGAATTCTTACCGAGCTAGTATCGTTCTACATTCGTACGATGAACATTACGCAACGTGGTCGGAGAGAAGACTAAGGATAGTGAGGTGAGTTAAATGGAAGAAGGGTCAAAGATCTGGTTAGGGAGATTGTGTGAGAGTGCAAAAGGGACGGAGATTGTTGTGCGCGGGTCTTCAGAGAGGATTGAAGATAGCCTAACTAGGTCAGTCAAATGCTAATCAGAGATCAGTCGAATTAAACATCCATTTCCGTTTATTTGGAGTAGGTCTAGCTCACATAGGAAGCATTTGAAAATACTTGCGAGGACAATTAATACAAAATTGCTTGTGACGGGGTGATTGTGAAAAAATTGATGGGCATTTTGTTTCAAGAATGATTTTATGAACGCCTCAAGGCAATTATTGTACTAAACTTTTCTCCAACCAAATCAGAACTTTGCAGCCGCAAGTCAACTTATTCAGGACATCTCTATGTTGATTCAACATTTATATGGACAAGTAAGGTAGGTTTAAACCGTAATAGCTCTTCTTGTAAATTAGCAAATCCTAGAAAACAGCAAGTTATGGAGGCCAATCAATGTTGGTCTCAGATGTCGCCCCATGACAAGGGAACTAAATATGGAAAATCAACTTCGTCAACCCAAATAGCGAAAGTTGAGTGTAGAGGGTGGGCCATTTTCACTCGCAGTGAGGCGAGTGTGAAATAAAGCATCTTCCTAGTTTCACAGTATCGCCAATTAAGCTGAGTTATCGCGAGACAGAGGCTGTTGTAAACCAACCATCAATACTCTTAGGGCAAAAGGAGGGCATATATTGATAAATTCGTTTTATGTGAACATTTAAACACAAGATAATTTAGCATTAATCCTCCTAATACGAAAGTATGTAATGGGAAGGGAGTAGAAATGACTCTTCCCAATAAAATAACTCAAAGGGAAATGGTGGCGGATAGATGCTCGAATTCCAGGATCCCCTCAACAAAAAAGAGGAAACAGACGTATAGTGCGGAACACGTTTATCTCTCTTAAGCAAACTAGGCGTTTAACTGTAAGGACAAAAACATTAAAAGAATGCTGGAAAATGTTTTGCAATAGTGAGATGCACTAAGTTCTCGGTAATTTCATTTCCGTATTTATAACTGCCCTCCTACGGGGTTCACCTAATTGAGAACTGCCGTCTAGCAGAAAAATTGTTGTCTGCGCCCTCTTCACGGTTATGCTGAGGTTGGAATTTAAAGACAACCTCCATGAATTGATTATTCCACAATGAAGCATAACACTCCGGCCAAGGTCTTTGTTCTGTCATCATTTTGCATTCTTATAAACGCCCCAGGTTACTTGAAAATCGATTCTCTTCCATCTTCAAGCTTCAGGTTTAAGCATTTAATGGTTTTAAGCAGCAAGCTTGTTGCTTTAGCAACATTACCTTTCTGTGTCTATTTGGGTACTTTCTAACTTTGTGCAATCACAGAAGACAAATATTAGCACAAAACAACCAAATCGATATTTTTTATACATTCGAAATAGGCATATTCCAACAGGGTTGTAAAGAGCAAAGGAAAAAGCCCCCCAAAACGGTGGAAGAAGACAAACTCTGTGCGTGTCGATTGTGAAAGAACAAGGGAGCATTGGAGAGAAACTAGGGAAAATGTAGTGAGTCGCAAATTACAAGGTGTATCATCTAAAGGCGAGAAGGGAGGGGGGGACGGAGAACGCTTTTCATCCTGAATTTATAAAGCCAGAGTATATGGAAGACTTTGTGTGGTTATGCTCATGAGGGGCCTGATTGTACCAGCTTGTGAAGCAGTCATTTTTCGAGGGTGGGATGTGTATAGAAAGAATACGTCTTAAGATCGTTTTCGTTGAGAGAAACGACGACTAATGAGGGTTCTTGACGCTTTCAACCTGGGGCCGCGTAGGATCTAGCAATTGGGAAAGAAACGTTTTGTTATAACAGTACAATGATTGCACTGAATAAAATACACAGGATTAAGTGAAACTTCCTATTTCATGACCATATTCACAAATAGTAAGCCGAACTTGTTATTGCATTTTAAAAATGATACAAAATTCTAAGTGATAAGAAATGAAATTTGTTACTTTGTTCACTTTAAATAAAATTTCAATTTTTTAACAGATTTCAAGAGATTTAGTTTGTTTCACTATTGTAAATGCCCTGTTAGAATATATTATTAGATTACACGGGATTTGTGATCTATCATTATCAGACTCGGTTAATCAATAATCGAAATCGATATGGCACAGACACGGACCAATACATGCAATACTAACTGACATTATTAATTGAATTAAAGGTGCCACTGCGGTGATTGGTCTATGCAATCAAAAATTGTTTAAATTCCAAAATTGCATGTAGTTTTATTTCTGTGTAGAACTCTCAGGTTTGGAAGAGTCATTTTCGTTATAAAGGCCTTTTAAATTACTTATGATTGGAATGAAATATTTTTGAAACGGAAGTAAAGAAAGCAGAGCTGATCATTAGCATTTATGAATCCCCAAATATAGCCAACTGCTTTATTATGAAACCCAAACGAAACATGCGATGAAGTAGGGGGAGGGGGTTCTTGTAAGCTTTATTCTTTGTGTGTCAAATCATCGATTATGTACGCCTGCTAACCATTCAATTATCTGTGAAATTGATTGGCTAGTTAGGCAGCCAACCATTTAAATCGTATTTCATTCCTTATAAGCAAATCTATTTTCATAATAATAAAACGTCGTTTAATCTACATTTGAATAGTTGGAGTTAAGTGTAAAACACCGCATGAAAACTAACCCGATTCTAAGGCATAAAAATTGTGTCTCTGTCCCTACTCTACTGATGCTTAGGTACATTAGCAAAGTTAGGGTTGAAAGAGCACAGCAATTACTAACCTTGGTAATAGACTCTCGGTTCAGCAGGATTAGCGAGGGAAGAATTTGAGTCAGTTCGATCTGAGGGTGGAGGATATTGATTTCTAGGGTAGCCATTTGCCTGTTGGCGATCAGCCAATCCATTTGTTCGAGAGTACTAAGAAAACGGATCAAAATTCATAGTAAATTGCTAAGTAAAACTTTAAATCAAATGGGCATTTGAAAACTCTGTTGCCTTGGCTTATTTAATTATCCCGAAAGCAAGTAGAGTTAACTTGGAGAACAAATCTAAAAGTGGCACTTAGAAAACAGGAAAATTGAAATCTTTCACAATTGAGTCACCTTGTAGAGTATCAAATGAGAAAAATATTCATTTTGCTTCCATTTAGTGGATTTGTAAGTGCACCTTTGGTAATTCGAGGTGCTTTGAAAAGAAAAGGATAAAACGAATTTTATATGGCAGTAAACAATACGTAATTTTCAATGTCGAGCTTCCATAAAATATCGGTTATCTTAAATATCCAAATTCTCTCGATGACCTCATAAAATTAAACTGTAAAGCCAGCGAAGTAACTAAATGGTCACTTTTGAACTGAATCGTTCAACAACTTCAATTTTAGTGGTGCAAGATAATTCTTGAAAATTCATTTAAACATAATTGATTATATTGAATATCTTGGGACGATTTTATGAATCTGTAAAAAATTCAGTGTTTTTACTTCATTTGCTATCACTTTATCATAAGATCGAAAAAGCATCAGGTGTATAAGGAGGAAAGAAGACGAATCTAATTCAAAATATGCAATGATATTAAAAAATTTATTAGTATACACATTACTAGTTCTATAATAATAAGGTTAGCACACACAAAATGTTTCAATGCCCTTGAGAAAAGGAAAAGATGCATACGATACGTTAGTGATTTAAGCTATTTCCATTAATAACATACTGGTGTAGGTTGAACATCATTCGAAGCAGTTAATGGTGCTGGCATCTGTGAAGTTGGTTGCGGTGGAGGAGTTCCAACCGTAGGAATATTTAGATATTGTCTCAGCCTATTCAACTGATCTTCCAGTGCCTTATTATGATCTTCCAATAGCTGCATTCTCGATTCCAATCTCGTCTTGTGTTGACGCAATAAACGTGTCTCTTGGGCCAGTTCGCCCTCCTGCGTTGGGGTTACAGACACTTGTTGTTGAGATGCAGGAACAATCTGATAGGATTTCTGTCCATAATGCTGATTGGATATTGGATCGTAGGACATGCGATTTGAACCACCGCTGCGAAGAAAAGCTGAGTAGGCAGTTGCGGTGCTACCCCCACGGCCAAGGGAACCACCATAAAGGATTCCGTTGTTGGGAAGGTAGACTTGATTTCGGCCGTAACTAAAATTGCGTTGAAAATACGCTCTCAGTTAATGGATTTGGTCTAATGAATAATTGTCGTTCCAGAGATTTCGTGTGCTCAAAACTGACACCTGTAATTCAGTGCGAATGTGCGCATAAACCTACGATTGGTTAGTGATTTAAGCAAATCTAATCCACTTAGCGTGTATCGGAATCATTGACACAATGGGATTCAGGCAGACAAATGGCATTCTTACGTTTGCCACTTTTACTTCAATCATTTTATTGATAATTAAAATACATGAGTTTTATTTGATAATTGCTAACTTAACCACGTTGCTCACATGTGAGCTGATTGAAGCCATGATTGGAGTACTGAGTGTCTTGATGAAGAAATTGTTCAATAATTGCCATATATAAATTATTCTGAGATGTTTGGTTTTATTAGAGTAATTATACTTATTATGTGAACTTATTGAACTATATTTCAAGATGAATAGCTGGGTTATGATAGGCCCGTGAATAAACATAATTCAAAATTGAAACATGTCCTTAATCACAGCTGTTTTTCTCGCCTTGATAAATTACGATCCCTCTGGAACTATTCTACTGTTGATGCCTCAATAGTTTGTTTAGGCAGAATAAAACTAAATTTGGCGGTGATCTAACATTCATGACAATATGCGACTACTAACAAGCTAATAAAATGCAATGGTGCGTGGAGCACGAAGCATCATAATCATAAAGTCACATCACGGTGAAGATTAGGCTATAAATATGATGTCCAGTTTAGGGTAAATAATTTGACCTTCATGATGGTGCCATAGGTAAGCAAAAGTTGTAATCTAAATTCGAGTTTTGGCTATCGGAAGAGGCAGTATGATTGATCTTTCAAATAAATTTATTAATTACTCAGGTGGTTGTATAATGCGTCATTACACCAGGCGTGGTATTGTAAAGTCAGCTAATTAGACGATAAGATTTCAATGAAATTATATAAAAGATAGATTACAGCGGACTCTTATTTGATCTTTCGAATATTCCGTTATTGTATCAAACACCTCTCTACCCCACTGTTTAAACTATTTCAGTGTTTAGAGTAGTGTCTAGACATTAATACACTTTAGAGCAGGCAATAAAATAGTGAGTTAATATGTATGCTTAAGATGATGCGCCGTTGAAATAGCATAAAATCAACGTTTAAATTCGACAATCGAATTTTGAAAGTAAAAAAATTCTAGAAAATCATAGCAACGAAATCGCGAAGTTTTTTTTTCCAACACACTTTCACCAATTGTTCCTTATTATTCAAGAAACGCTTTAACTGAAATGCTTACCCGGTGGGAATATTTACTTGTGAACCGGGAGGCAGGTAGGTATTTCCATACATTCCTTGATATGCACTTAGTCTTTCCTGATCTTGATACAATCCAGGCTGGGAAAGTGGATATTGCAGGGAAGGAGATCTCAAGGGTCGCATATTTTGAGATGGTGATTGCATTCTAAGTCGATCGTACTCGGATCTAAGGAAACGATTCTCTTCCTCAAGATTGATCAGAACCTAAAAGATAGGAAACATTAGATTCAAAATGAATGAGTTGCAGCACGTGATTAGAACTTTCCACCGCTAACTCAAATGTTATCAGTGTTAAAATGCTGACTGAAAATGCTAGGACTACGGTCATATACCTCCTAATTGGTAGATAGGGAGTTCCAGAAATTGCCTTACTGGTAAATAAGAGAAATGGATTCTATTTGATTGTAAGGAATGGAGGTAGATATTTAGCGAGGCAATTGACATTTAATGGACCCAACCATAACGACGTGATTACATATTTGCCCTTAAAGTTATATCCGTGGCAAGCCCCATTAACTCACATCACAATATTTTAAGCTTTAATTTGACTCAACGCTCCTTGTGCTACCTTTCTATAAATAAACTTCTGAGCTTTAGATCGAAAATAGATATTGCGTTGATAGTCAAAAAGGTTATGAAAATGGTACATTTTTATGCAGAGGCCCACATATTCTTGCCAATTTTACCTTTTTTAACGATTTTAGTGCTCTTTAAAATAGCGCACGATGCAATGGTATAAGTTAGTACTTGGAGGAAACCGAAAAAATGCTATTTTAACCGGCTCACTTGCCCCACAATTCGAAAATAGGAAATCTTGTCAAATGCAAAATGTCACTCTGATCATTTTAATAATTTGTGCTAAAAATGTGAGTAAAATTAAATGGGGTGATATATTGAGCGAAAATGAAGAAATACTTTTAGTTATTTTGACTTTGTGCTGTCTGTTGCACTTTCAAAAATAAACAAAATGCCAAAGATAAAAAACTAATCTAGGCAATTGATTTGCCAAGTGGAAAGAGCGCTAGGTACTGAAAGACTACATAGAACTCCACAAATGCAAAGGCACATTGAAATCCTTCCTACGGATGGAAAACTGACCTTATCCAGAGAGCCAGCGCTTCCAGTTAACATGGGTGCAGTCCATCCACTCGGGTTACGGTAGTACCTTGGCTGATAATTTATTGGTGGACCGGTGACGAAGACTGTAGAGGCGGGATGAGTTGGTGGTTGGGAAGAGGCTCTGAAACTACTTCCTCCTCCACGCAGCTGATTTGGACGAAGTGTATAATATGCAGGTTCGACTGGGCGAGATCGATCATAATTGACACTGTTGTAATTCCAAGGTGTGGTGAGCGAATGCGTGGAATCTTTGGTCCCATAGTACATTGGTGGCCGAGCTCCAGTCTATGCAAATTAAATAGTAAATAAAACTAATGATCTACTCTAAAGTTTTGGAGAAACCTTTCATAAATTCGATCTTCTCTATAATCACTTCTTTTTCATGATTACTCTTCGAAACCTAAAATAGCTGTTGTTTATTCCACTAGAATTTTATCGAGGTACCAAGCTCTAATTGCCAGACAGCATATAAAACTCCCTTTGAATCAAAGTGAGCTGAATGTGATCTACCTCATCCCGTCTTTAATAATCTCTAATTTGTCTACGTAACCAGTTTTAATGAACGAGATCTGAATAAGATATGCTGTTCTGGGTCATTCGGTTGCAGTCACTTAATACGGTAAACTTCTAATGAAAGCATAACGGCTTACAGTCAGAAAGTCTTGAGCTTATCACTCATCATTCTAGTGCATAATACAGACTCTGGTGGGAAAGTAAACCGATTCTGGGCTTATCCAGCGACCACGCCGACCAATAGGCGGGTTTTGCCTTTCATAGCACACAAACACCCGCTACCAACAAGTATATGGATCAATGATATTGTAGGACTCCCGGTGAAAGACAATGTAGGGAACCAGATTTTACCTGTATTCTGTCTTGTCACATCTGGTAACGGTGTGTATGATTTAGTTATCTCTATGGCGTCTTTCGCGCTTCTTTGTCCTATTTTAAGACATCCTAAGGAAGAATTGTGCCCTAGATGGCCCATTTATGCAAATGCAACTAACTTGCACTAAAGATTAGGGCAAAATGACCACCTCTATAGACATTAAAGACTTTTCAGGATATATTAAGTTTGAGAGCGAGACACTCATTTTTGACAAGATTTGGTGCGACATGGATGGAACAAAATAATGTAGATTTTTTCGACTTCTAAGGAACTTCCTGACTGCTGCTGAGCGTATGTTTCATTAAGGATAGAAGTACTTATTACTGAAAGTCAATTTCAGAATGTAAGGACAGTCATTTTTCAAGTCTTTCCGAATACTAGTACCCAAAGCTACTCCTAACGTTACTCGTAGACCCCGAGTTGAATTGTTCAGTTATTATAAAACTCGGAAATAATAAATTAAAGGAGATAGTGTTAGATAACTCACCGTCGTGAGTGAATTTTGGCGTCTCAGTGAGTGGCTGTACTGGGCAATGAGTTCATGCTCCTGATCCATTGACCCTCCTCTTCGTGGTCTATTGCCACCACGCGGAATCGAACTATCCATCAGTTTATTTGCAGATGAGGCAGCCGGAATCATTATTCGCTTCCTCGTTTCTCCCAGAGAAGCTGGTCGTACCGACTGTCTATTACTTGGAGAAGGATTTGTGTTGGGGAAATTGGCCGAATTTTGCCGAATCGGCACTGCTTTTGGTGGTCTGTTGGGAACAAAACATTGAATATTATATAGAAGTTTCTCTAAGGTTTCACATTTTTGTCAGTATTGGCATATCATCCTTCCGGTGGGGTCTGAAATAGCAATATTATCGCAATAGTGATCGTCAAACTCACGTAGGAAGTTGTGTGCTCGCAAATAATAGGTAAAATAAATAGAGGTATTACATTTAGACAAAAAAGGGAAAAAAGATATATAGACATTTCTGGATTCGTATTATCTCTACCATAGATTTCGCGCAGGTTTTTAATACTAATGGAGGCAAATAAAAATAAAAACCCTGTTGCCCGTTATTAATCAAGAAGGCATTTTCTTCTAATCACATCCATTTTTTGCTAGTTTATAGAACACAATAACAGAGACTTGGAACTAAATTAAATCAGAGGGAAGCTGAAATAATCAATGCTTTTCCTGGGAAAATTCTACCCATAGATGGCGATCAAATAAAAATAATGATCTTTGAAAAAAATTCTATGTAAAAATCGATTGGAATTGTACTTTAGATCGAGTTAAGTTGTTCTTTTTCACTTCTTGCGTTCATTTTTCGAAATTGCGTAAATGGTTAGCCTCCACCAATAAAAATATAGAATTGGCTGTGGTAAAGGGAGAACAAGCAAAGAGCGCTATAAAAATGCCTTGGTCAGATCCAGGGGTCATTGTTGTAACGATGTGAAAACAAAAGTCTTTACAACCCATTCAGAATTGCTTTGAAATGTTCTCCTTGAGACTGATAAAAAACACACATATGTGTTGGCAGACTACACCCTCATTACAGGTTGATAATAATACCGTAAAGTTAAAATTAAAAGCTAACAGCTCGATGGTATTGTGGAATTAGAAGTAGCCAGTATTTTGTATACATCTATTAAAAGGGAAACATAACAACTTTTAAATCGAGTTTGACCTTCCACATTCTTGTTGAGCTTTTCCAGTTTCCAGATTAAAGTAAGACGACTAACTTCATTCTTTATTGCCTATTTGGGCAATGTTAAACTTTAACTGTTTTCTCCTTAATTTAAATCAAATAAAGTAGTTAATTAATGCTTTGGGCGGTTTCAACATCTACTGACCAACCAATTACTGGCCAAGGAATGACTCCAAACGACTTCTAATACTTTTTAAAAATCCATAATAAGAAGCTCTATTTAACTGGACTTAGCAAACTTTTAATACCATTACATTGATCTGGAGAAATGGCAATTTTAGTTCAGAATATCCTATGGGACCATTTTCTTATAAAAATATTGGGAGCAAAAAATGCATTAGAGCGTTAAGACGGTTTCTTCTTGGTTAAAACATACCGGTTAATAAACACTGAAAATCGCGAAAAAAACTACATATTTGAAATTCTGGCGACGGACTATGTGACGATAAACTTTACAATTCGAACTACTCTTTTAATAAATATTGTACAAACCCAGTCCACGATTCAAATTAACAAGACTCTTTGAATTTATGAATAAATATAAATAAACCTATTTCCGATATCTTACTCTCAGTTATCAATTAGAAGTATTGTTTATCCTTGTTCTTTGCTTTCCAAAAGGAAGGTAAAGATTTTTGCCTTATTGTGAATAGAAATAACAAATAACAACGTTTATACAAAATCAGAAAAATGCTTCGTTTTTTCCTAGCTGGGTATATCAGCATTTCCAATCTTTCAAAGCAGGTCTAGCGGACAATAAACATTAGTATATTTGATGTAGAATTAGGTCGCTTAACCATTCCCAGAGGAACTATTTAGGGGACTTATTAAAAAGCCAATAATATATGTGGACGAATAATTGCGCCTATAAAGTGTCTGAACATATGAATAAAAGGAACAAAGACCGTGTAAACTTCATAAAATAAAACCGTTCTAACTTAAACCAATATCTAGTAAAGGGAAAAAGTGGACTGTGGATAAAATGTGATCAGGGGGTTGGAAATTATTCATGAAGAAGATTACCGGTTGTGGTAAGACTGAGTTCCAGTAGGTTTCGATAAGACAAGATTGGAGGATTTCGATGTAGTATCGGAGTCGAGAGAGGACTGCCGGAACTTTTCCTTCGACTTGAATCGATTTCGTACCACTCGGCTGAAGTCTCGTAAACTGTCACTTCGTTGGAGCTAGAACAAACGCATAAGTTCTTGCTTTGAAAAATTTTTGATGCCTTTTGCATGCTAATGGTGGATGCATATATTCGAGTTAAAAGTAGAATTTTAATGCCATCAAAATGACGTTTAAAGGGTTGTTATAGTATTAAAAAAGAGAAATCCGAATAATTAGCCTACAGTAGAAGTATATTCTTGAATTGGATGCGTAATCTTGTGGCTCTTCTCAACACGACCAATGAGGAAGCAATTTTGACACAACTCGAAGTTGAGGCATCGCAAGCACCGATATCTAAAAAGAACAGTAAATAAGTAAAATGAATAACCAATTAGGAATTAGTCTTGACTCAGAAATTAGATGGATTTTTAATGGACAAGGATTTCTATTTGATCGGAGCATAACGAAGGTGATGGCATAGGCAAATATTCCATATTCCAGCAGAGGATTTCCCTCCATTGAAATCTGATGGATCTATTCCACAACTTCATAAAGATAATAAGGATAAAATTATCTGTCATTTGAGTATGATTAATTAAGAGCCCAAACAACAGAATTTTATCAATGATTGTGCTTTAATATGACTTGATTATTTTTTTGTATTTATAAGTGGCTTCAGTGAGTAGGTATAATGAGCAAAATTTGAGCGTGGAAATTTGGAACTTAAAGTTCTAGAGTAGAGCCACTACCAAAAGTAATTAATTTAGTCAATTCTTGGTGAATGAGTTATCTTACTGTCATGAAGATTTAAATTTATTTGTAAAATTTGAACTAAAAAGTCTTACAAATTTCGCCCAATGGCCTAAAAGCCGAAAGTAACGTTCTACAAATTTGTCCATTCTGAAGAACAATAAGATAGTGAAGCATAAATTGTTGACACAATTGCAAAACAATTTTTCGTACATTTCAAACGTTTAAGCTTCTCTCTACTTTCTTACCAATAGTTATTATATTCAACTTTCATATTTTCGTCCCATATTGTGAGTTAATTGAGAACCAGTGCGAAATTAAGTTTTTAGAGCCTCTGGATATGAAAATGTCTGATTCGTTGATTTACGACGGAGATCGAATTCAGGTGGCTCCTGAACAGTGCTCCACTAACAGATAGGATTGCTGGACAGTAACCGCTTCAATTTTTCATGTAATTATTGAATAAAAATTAAAACCTAACTGCTTTTGATTTATATTAGTTGAACATGGGTGCGTGGTAGACCTACCTCCACCCTGGGAAAAAATCTATAAACCGGTAGTTGACTTCTGACTTTAAACTACCGAGACCCAACTTCGGGTTATATTCGACCACATTCACAGTGCTCACCTCACCTTTGTATCTGTCTCTCATACATCTGGGAATTACTTCTCCCCTCCTCGACCTTTTGTGACTTTGATGCTCCTCCCCTCAATTAGGCCAGAAATCAACTAAAGGTTTAATGATAAATACCCACAACCTGCCATTTAATATAAATTAATATCTGTTGAACAAAGCTACATGAAAGATAGCAAAATTAGATGAGTTTGGGAAATTAATGCAAACTAGCTTGTTCAATTTTCTGTTCAGCCCGGCATTAAATAAAATTGGAAGCTGTTCCATCATTTTGGAATTGCACAGACGGTAAAAGAAAGTTTGAAATTATTTTTTAGAAAGTTTTGCAGTAGTAGTTAACTTCTCAGTTAGATAAATTTCAACCTTTTTAGGACGGCTGTGCAACAGTTTACGTTAAGGTGGAAAATTTTGCCATGAAATAAACGACAGGCTTTTTGAAAGATATATTTTCGCATTTTCCTTGAAAGCGAGAAGAAAGCAAATATTTCCTGAAATCCCGCGCTTTGCTGACTTCTGTCAGTTTTAAATAATACGTTACTTAGATTTCATATTAAATTAACTGCCAGAAGCACGAGATCTGGATATTATACAGTTGGCTAACCCCGTTTCTTGCATTAATAAGATGACGATAAAAGTTAATCAAAACCCACGTAATGATCAGAACGACAATTGGATGATATTCAAGACTGTTGGAGCGGCAAAAGATGTCAAACGAAATATTTGACACACCAATCAAACAAAAAAGTAGTGAATTTTAAAGTATTAGTTAAAATATCATCTTCAATTAATTTCGGTGATAAGAACAAACCTTAATCCTCTGATGGGGCATGTCTGACAGGCAGCGCATCGAACCTGATGAACAAGCTTTTCACCGGCGATTAATCGATGCATAGCGGGAATCCACGCCACAATAGAAGGCTCCAAACTCATCCATTCGTAAAAACGATCAAGTCCAACACTTGGAAGCAAATCATCTTCATCTGGTGTCACTTGCGAAGATATCTGACTGTCGATCGAAGGAGCTGGCTTGATGCTACTGGATCGGTGATCGTTACCCTTCGTCTTTAAATTCTATGAAATAGATTGATTTATATGTTAAGACAGCGCTACAGTAATGATTGGTGAACTGAAACGTTATGACATTGGCAAAGTTTCCCTCCTCAGAAAAAAGCAGAATACATATTATTTAATTTCCTCAGCTATTTTCCAAGTGAAATATATTTAATCAAGTAGAAGTAATATCATAAAACTGAACACCTCACAAGCCCTCTCCAGGCGTATGTCCCCCAATTAAGGTGCCGATTTCCTAAGGATTTTTTATTCGACTTATTTCTATTACAGTGGGGCTAAAATGTTTTTTTTTGGGAAATTGATTTACCAGAGGTTGATTGGTTGGAACGATGCCTGCTTCAAACTTCTTGATGAAAACTGAAAAATATCCCTAGCACTACGTGGTTTCAATTAGCTTAAAAATGCAGTCATTTATTCAAGTGTTATTTTCTCATCTTTTCACCCTGTTAACGCTTGCTTTAAATAAAAAAATCCCACCCAATTATATAAATTAAGTCAATTTTAAAGAAATGGAACAAAATCAACGCCTTGCTTTAATTGATGAAAAACTACTGGCATTTACCCCACTCAATTTTATTTACTCAGTTATGTAGCAAGCATTCTTGTTCTTAGCAGAGGCAATATTTCATGAAGTGAGAAAGAGATACGCCCCAGAGTGGACTCAATTAATGCTACTATGGGGATACCTTCAAGGGTATATTCGTATTTCAAGAAGAAGAATAGCTACGTTTCAACGAGAAATCAATGTAGCCAATCATCTTAAATAAAACATTGCCATTTATACTAATAATGATGTCGGTAGTCGATAAGTGCCTCCAAAGAAATCAAGGTAAATTTTATTCTCAATAATTGGGTGTGCGATAGACTTACCTCCACGTGGAGCAATCTGGGCAACGTATACTCATACGGCAAAAACGTCTAAAAACTGGCAGTTGAATTCTGACTAAAAGCTGTTATGACTCCACTGTATGTCATATTCGACAACTCCTATAGTACTCACCTCATATTTTTACTACCTTCGTCTTTGAAACACTTCTGTCCCCCCTCTCGACTTTCTTTCACTTTGATGTTCCTTCCCCCCTGTGAAGCCTGAAGTCAACTAAAAGTCTAATGATAACCATCAAAATGTCTGTCATTTGATATAAATAAATAAACTATCAAGAATTAGTGATAGATTTTAAAGGAAAAGCTGAAGTCGATCCATTGGATTTGTATTTACCTAGTGTTTCTAACCTTCTTTACCTTTTTGTCTTAAAAAATTGAATTCTGCTCCTATTTCTGAAAAGTACAGCCCATTTTACACTCAATTGATTCCCTTTTGTCTGTTCCCCACTTGTATGGTATTTTCCGTTGAAATCTTCGTTTGTGTCCACTCGAAATAATTTTTATACGAAAACAACTTATCTACGCACCAAAAATTCCGGTGTGTCGAGATACCTCCGTATTAGTGCGAGAAATGCTGTCAACAATTTTGGTAAACCGTTGGTCCAGCTGATTGGTAAGATTCCATGAACGGCAGTGACTATTGGCAAGTTCGTTTCGTTATGTATGCTTTCTCAATGCAGCCCTAATATATTCATTGTGATTTTCAATTGAGGAATTTATCTATACGCACCCAGCATAAGAATGACAACTCTTATTGAGTGTCATTTTTTAAATAAATACACAATTATAAAATAGTTACTAAAATTCCCCTTAAGTGGTCGCATCTATTAAATAAGTATGTCCTATTTCTGTTTTGGTCGTAAGGTAAAAATCAATCTAGTCAACAATGCCAATCAATGACTTAAGTCAACCAAACAATAAGTTCGAAATATTGCGAATTATAAAGTCAAATAGTAGAACTGTGAATAGTATACTTGGAAAAATAGAAGTTTGTACAATAAACTGTGACTCTGGTGAAAAGCACTACATTCAGGCTTTCATCAATGTAAAATTGTTGAAGCGCAGGATCCATTGGTGAATTCAATTTGACTCTCCAGTTTAATTTCAAAATTCACTCGCAAACCCTTGTTTATTATGGGCCTTTAATATGTTAAAATCATTAAAAATTAAATCAGTCGATATTATTGATCTGCTAAGAGAAGCAGTGATTTTTTTCATTGCCATGTTTAATGTCACACAGTCAAAAATCCAATCTCAATGACAAAATTTCCTTTCCTTATTTCAATTTTCTACTATTTACAAATTGTTTTTAATAATTTATTTATCATAGAACCCGAATTCTTGATTTAAACCACTGAGCATTTATCCACTGCAAGATAAGCATCTGAAGGCATCAAATAGTAAGAAAAAGGTATCAGCCTTCAAGCCAATATCAATAGAGCAGAATTATAAACAGTTTCATTACCTTCATAAAGCACATTAGAATATCCACATCAAGCTCGTTTCCGCAAGTTTGAGCCTCCCCCAATTGTCGAGGCAGTTGCATAATTTCATAGACGAGAAGCCAAAGACGCGAGTCATTGATTTTGTTGTCACGATCAGCAACCAAGTTGAACAGGTCTACAAAATAATAGCAATAAAATAGCGTACTTGTAGGCTTTACCGAAGTTTTGAGATAATACGTTGCCACATTGCAAATGAAATTTTTCTCATTAAGGGGTGTGGAATGCTGCTTTTCACTCGACCAGAACGTGCTCAATGTGTCTGAGTAAGAGTGCTAAGGATAGTATCTCAGGCGATTCAAGTTGGTAAAAAGCCAATGTGACTCGGTCTAATAACTTTAATGTTTTATTTTTACATAGGATTATAAAAAGAAATTAAGATTGAATGATGCAATCTACAGGCAACTTAAAGCACCCCAAATCACAGCGTGCCCAATTCTCAAGGCGACTATTCCAGAATCAATTTGTTTATTTCTTTGCCATAACAACACTGATAAAGGAATGTTTATTTAACCATGGCAAAAATGCACATTTGGGCGCTCGGTATGCAATAGCATATATTTATCTCCAACCAGTCACTCGAAGGCTCCAAGGCTTTCTTTCATAGGCAGTAGATTTTGAAAATCCATTTGCATGCCTAGATTCGCTTGAATTAACCATATAAAAATGTGTTTGAATGTCCAGCAACATAAAAATTAAATATTAATTGAATATTAATGTGGCTATAATGGTGGGTAGCCACCTATACACTACAGACGGTCCGCTGGGACTTCCAGAAGGGAGGGAAGAAAATTTTTATCTTTAAGTAAGCTCCACTAAAATCTACTGAGAAGCCATACCTGTTTTCTACAACAATGCGACAACAAAATGGTATGTGGCACATTTTTTAATGTGGAAATCTGTCATAAAAGAAGTCACGGTTCGAGTTCTACCTTTGCAGACTCAGTACACCAAATGGCTAACCCTACTGAAGGGAGTGTCAGAATTCGATTCTCGCGCCGGGAATGTTGCATGATTCCGTTCCCTGTGTAGGGTGAGAGTTTCCAAATGCTTTCTTAAATGAGCTTGAACATGACTGACATTGTGATGCCCAGAGAATAAACCAAAAATATGAGAATAATTGAATCTGCCTTCTTATGGCTAAACATTTTCGCGCAACATACCGTTAAAACCGAACATTAGTGTACATTTTGAGTTCTTTTATGTCATAATGTCATTATGTACTATCATAATAGTTTTAAAATTAATATTTATGGAAACTATCACTAAGTTTGAATTATTTGGAGACATTTGCAGTTCCACCAAGTTATAAAATAGGTTAGCTCGGCCGACAAATCAAAATGCAAGGACACTAGAGTAGAATTAGGGACTATAAGAGGATTGGTCAGCATCGATTAATAAAATTAACCATATCGGATTTAGGGGATTAACTCTATCTGTTAGAAAGGTTTAAGACCGTAGACACAAATTACCGTATCAACCCATTTATTTGAAGGGTATTTTCTCATTAAGGATGAATGTTAATTAGATAAGGGAAAATAGCTTCAAAATGAGGTTAATATTCATTTGGAAATCCCTACTGAAATGAAAGCTAAATTTTCATATATTAAAATAATTTTGTAATTTATCCCAACATTCCTAGAACCAACAAATAACTCAAACCCATTATTGTTGTCATATAGTCCAATCTTTGGTTTATGAAAATACAATAACATTTGAATTAAAAGGTATGAAAACTGTATCACCCATATTTTTGGAGCCAGAGTGACCGGTTGTGTTATGAGAAAACAGAAAGAAGTAAAATCATATTCTCAGTAAGTCTCCTTTCAATATTACTGGTAAATATGAACCCTCTACTGATTTAAAGGAAAGGAAAATTGCCATGCCGATGCAACTTACATTGATATTTTTCCTCTATGGTTGCGTCGATAAGAAGAAATGTTGTAACTTTGAAAGAAAGGACACGAATTGTACCATTTCGAGCACTGCAAAAAAAGAACAATTAAAACAGTATCAGTATTAAAGTTGTGAGTGCCAGTTGCCATCGAATGAATTGTTGAACTCCCGAAAAATTAAAATTTTCCATTTGAAATAATGACCCTTAACAGGATCAGTAAATGCGAGGAGACAAAACCGTCTATAGTCAAAATGATATGTTTTAAAATTGTGCTATTATATAATTACTTTAATCCGTCTTTGGAATCGCATTTTTAAAACGATTTATTTATAAGATAATGTGCAAAGTTGTCCCATTTAAACTTGAGTTGACTCAATGTAAAAGTAGTTACCGAATGACTCTGTTTCAATAAAATATCTCTTGGTGAAGCTTCCTCTAATGCCCTTCAATAAGATGATATTGGCCTCATCTTCCTTCTATTACCTGCAAGAGTATTGATCAAGCTATCCAAAACAATCACGGAATTGAATCAACTAACCGATAAGCAATGATTAAAATAGGGGTGTAATTTGACACATGAACGTGGAAATCAAAATAAGAATATTGAATCCTGGAATAAATTGAAGTAATTTTTCAATGTAAAAGTAAGGACAGCTTAAGTTTTCCCAATTCCAAATGAGTAAAACTACTGATGGCTGTCATTATTATGCCCATTTTTTGGTTCTAATGTTTCATGCCTTATGGGAAACATACTGGATGTACACAATTTTGAGATGCTTTCCTCATTACAAAATTTAAAAGTATTTTAGCTGCTTTCATACAAAATACATTTGAAATACCATTCCGAATAGTCCGCCATACCATATAATAAATATAAACCACAGATACAAGAGCCCAGATCAACTGAATTCTACCCCATTTAAACAACTACTTTCGCATGATAATCCTGAATCGAACTGAATCATACGCACCTGTCGAAAGAGTTTAATATCAGATTTAGAGCCAAATCCACACAAGTCAACAGACAAAATTCTCTTCCATCTGGGAGCCTAAGCCGTGTCTGAAGTTTATCCACTCTGGAGTAAGCGGACGCAGGTTGATTATCAACTGGAAGCATATGCTGAGGTGATGTCGGCTCGTTAACTTGACGACGTTCAATTGGAGGCGAAATCGGTCTTTTGTCTTCATCTTCATAGTCCTTATCGTCTTGGTCATGCTTATTACCGCTGGTACAAAGCACACTAGTCATGCAGTTAATTGCACTGCGGTGAGTTGGTGATTTCTTGGTCTTGGGTTTAACATCGGGATTGGAGGCACTTTCACGGACCTGCTAACAGAAGAAAAACAGAGTCTAGTTGGAATTTCAAATGATAGAAAATGAAATATTCAGCTATTCAATTCAGAAACTGTGGACCAGATCACAAAATTGACTTTTGACTACGAAAGAATGAACTAAAGGACTTAGGGGGCATCATGGAAAAACGACGAACATCTGCTTAAGATGGGATAAGGCCATGCAATGTTCTCATCGTGGGGTGTGCGATAAACTTACCTCCACGTGGTGCGCCCTGGGCAACCAATATTCATACGGCAAGAGTCTATTAATCGACAGTTGACTTCTGACTTCTAACTGCCATCACCCCAAACAATGTCAAATTCGACTACTTCCGCAGTACTTACCTCACCATGTTTTCTACTTTTATGTCTGTCTCTTATATCATCTTTGAAATACTTATCTGCCCCCCAATCAACTTTTTTCATTTTGATGTTCCTTCCCTCCGTGAAGTCTGAAGTCAATTAAAGGGTTAATGATAACTATCAAAACGCCTGCCATTTGATATAAATAAATGTTCTCATCGTCATTTTAAAATTTCCCTTGAAATTCCGTTTCCTGGTTGCTTCAATTTGGATTATTCTCCCAGATTTGTCATCAAGCGTTTCCCCATGGCTTGAAACCATGACATTAATTTCAACGTGTATAAAATTAACATTTATTGAAAAAAAATAGTATTTTGGATGACGGGAAATAAGTAAAGTGAGTTCTAATCCTTTAAAAGGAAATATTCACCCCTGTCAGACCCTTTAAGAAAAGTTAATAGCGTTAATAGAAAAAGACTGCTGTGGTAAACCCCCTC